CAGCCTTGTGACCGATGTGCCCGCCTAACTGTCCCCGGCGTCACCGTGCGCACAATCGACCGTCCGCAACGCGAAAAAATGACCTGTTTGTTCGCTAAATCGGAGGAACGCTCCGTTGAACGACCCTTCAAGGCGACAACGGTAGTTTTATTGCCGGGGAAAGATGGCAATTATTGCTCGGACGGGTCCTCCTCGATTATATCCTTAATATCTTTGCTGTGTGCGGCAATAAAAGGAAAACCGAGCCGCGTGACAGCGACAAAACATCGTAAAACAATTTACGTTTGGAATCTGACCACGCAAGGTCAAAAAAATACCACATTTTCGTTTCATTTACGATGCGTTTCTCGTATTAAATTTTAATAACGCTAGGTTTACGGTTTCAGATTCTAAACTTGACGTAACGATACGAATGTATATTCTGATTAACAGGAAAACTGTATTTTAACTGACAACGCAAGTGCAATAAAAATATGCGCAACGAATGGCGGTAAATCTAGCGTTAATTCGTCGGGCTACTGGAGACTTCAATGCGTGTATATGCTAATGCAGAAAAGGGAAGAAACGAAAGAGTAAAAATGCGTGGCGCGGTTGAAGTGTTTCTTTCTTTATTTTTTCTAATTTTAATCCCTTCGTGCAATTTTTGAGTTCGTTCGATGGGGAAAAGCTTGTTTGCGAAAAGATGGTCGGCGTTATGGCGTAACTACCGAACGGTATTTATATTTGAATTTCTCTTTAAAAGTACATTATCGATGTAAATGCAAATATTACGCGGAATGTGGCAATTTAATTTGTCGAATCACTTTGCTTTCAACGCGGCGTTCGATACGAACTACCGCAAAATTCATACCGGTAAAAGTATACGTTGCAATAAATTTACACGTGAAAGTCCAAGGTATCGATAGTAAACGTTTCTAAAATAACGGAAATTCTTCCTTGATACGTTACTTTTGTAAAAAATTCATTTTTTCTTATTCTTTTTAATCTGTGTCTCATTTGTTTCGTATTCTAATGATTTCAATTTTCACGTTAGATTCTTATCTAAATGGGGTATCAAATACACAAGGTATTGTGAAGATGGTAGTGTAACCAGTTTTCAAGGTAGACATTTCTATCTATCAGAAACGAAACTTTCTTCTCCTTTGAAAGGGGTGAAACCACTGTGACGACTTAAACAAATCGAAATGTTTTTTTATCTCTTTTTAATGTTTGGGGTCCTAAGAATGACTTCCTAAACTGTTAAAGCAAAATTCGCAAAAATTACGAAGTTGTGACTAATAAATCCCTACGTGCAACTGAAGCTACTGTATCGTAGATTTAAAAAATTGCATGATTTCTTGTTTTAGAATTTGCAGTGAAAAATTACAAATTTTTGAAAGCCACTCACGCTGGTTCCTATCATGCCTATAATACTTAATATTTGTACACCAAATTTTTACAAAACCCAGTACAAGAAACGTACTTTCGAGAACATTAAACACTTACTAGAAAAAGTTTCAAAGTTACCCTCGAAAAAATTCTTGAAAATTGCCTTTGTTTTCAGTCGTCGCAGTGGTTTCCTGACGAGTCCCGATAAAATCCATTTGGAATCATTACGCTCGCAAAAGCGTCGTTGGGTCGTATAAAGCGGACCGGTAACCCTCGTTACCACCGAATCGTGTTTTGTCACAACAAAAGGGGGGAGCAAGAAAGGAGAGCGTTGTTCGCGGATGCAAACATCGAGCAACGGGGTCCCTTCTTCCCGATCGTTTCGTACTCAAGGATGTCGCGTGCTACATAAATTGGACGCATCGGGACACGCGGGAACGAGCGGCAGATACCGATCTTCGAGCTGGCGTCTTATAAATCAACGAGTCGATCGCGGAGAGATACCGATCTCGGGCTGCGTTATAAACCGTGGCTACGTGCTGCCCGAGCGATCATGGCGCCCGGGCGTGAAACGCGCTCGTTTTCTTTTTCCGGACGTTCGACCGCGAGACGAAGATGATGCATCCGCGCCGAAGAGACCGATCATCGACGATAAAAGAGCATAAAGGGCTGCGTCGCGCGTGTAGGCAGCTGCACGCGATGCAATTTATCTAGTTCCCGGCGTATCTTGTTGCGTTCGCGCGTCGTCCTTCGCGCGTGCAGGTAAAACCGTGACAGCCACGATTTAATTAACGGAGGGAAATTAGAAAAATCAAAAGCTAACGCGTTCAGCTCAATCGATACACAGCCTGGTCGTTTTCGACGTTTCATCCGGGGAAACAAAAGCTATTATCGAGAACGTAAGCGCACATAGTCTCGTCCATAAATTCCGTTAGTGAAATTCAAAGTAACGCCGAGGCGATAAATTCCAACGTGCAAAACTCGCAACAGAGTCGAAGCTGTTAGCTCGCAGAACGACGGACTGTAGATAAACAATGTCCAGTTGCAAATAATTGGTATCTGCGCAGCCGCGCGGTGGGCGTGTATGAAAATCGCTGTAATTCGAACCGTGGAAGAGCAAGATTTATAACGTGGTAAAGGTATTTTAAAAAAATGTTCGAGCTATTATTAGGAGCGATTAAGAAGAAGGATTTTTATTTAACGGATAATTCTCAGAAGCCTCGAAATCACTGAGCTACATAGTCGTTCGTTTCTGAATTAATTCGTCAACCTTTTGTAAAAATCAATCAGCCCGACACAGTTTCGTGCGCTTCGTTCCCCCCAACGTGATCATTAAATTTAAAATTCACGGTAAACTTTATGCTTCGCGAGAATACCTCGAACGCGACGTACGCTGTAATTTAGTGCTCGAGCACAGTTACGTAATAAAAATCACCGTTTCCTTTCTTAAATACATATTTAAAAATACGGCGCTCGACGCGAGATGCAACAGCGTGTAGCGAAAAAATTGATTCGCCATTACGGTCCGCGGCAAAAAGATAATTTTGTTTTAACAACACCATGGTTGTTTGATTTCAGATTCGTAGCTAATTTCGAAAGAACAGTCGACATATTTTCTTTGTTGATTTTGGCTAGGAACGTGTTTAACGATGTTAAATTCAGGAGGACGAATGTTTCGCGCCGATCTGGAGATAATTGCGACGCGGATCGTGCTCGATCACGATCACGGATAACGGGAAAAATGAAATCGAATGACTCGCGAAAGCGCACGTAGGTATATTTACTTTCACAATATGCGCTCCGAACGAACGCGTGTCGGTAACTATGAATTATAACCGTGGGCATAACAAACATCGACTCGGGCTGTATTATCGTGCAACCGCGTGTAGGAAGATTCGATGTAATTACAGTTAACCGGGTCTTTTCAATCTCGATGCTCCTTGTCCAGTCGATGACGCGCGAATCGAACCCAGAATACGTTGCCTCTTTGCCGACGATTACGTTGTCGCGCCTGATTTATCCAACGCTTTTAAAAACACTACGGGGAAATGCTTTTAAATGTCCGTCCTCGAGTATTCATATTAAGGGAGTGAAACCATTGCACAAAGTTCATATTGTACCATTCTGTTGGATGTATCTGTTATTAGTCAGTCATAGCAAGAGTTAAGCGTGTAAAAGAATTGATAAAATTGTTCATTTTATGACGATTAAGGGCAGTTTGCCTCCTGATAACAATAGGAATTTTTGTACACCATCTTACAAACTTCGAGAGCAGGTTTCACCCTCAGAACCGATGTATGTTAATTCGTATCGAATTATTGGGTTTCTTAAGAATTTTATAAATTAATTGACAAGTTTTTGGTGGCAAAATCCAACGATGTCCTCGATTTAAAAGTTTCGAAACACAGTAATTCGATTTTCTACGCGCGCGCGCGATGTTGATGGTAAGATCGACGATGTGGAAATCGAGAGAGCGTTTCGAGAGGACCCGTAGATCGGGACCGGCGATAAGATTCTATCGGCCGTGAAAATTGCACTGTCAAAGCGTGTAATCGTGCCCGCGGGCCTGGCGTATGGGTTTTCGAGTTTTATTGCGCGCGATAATTAGGCGTCCGTGTAAAAGGCGATCCTGACGTTCGAATTAAAGCCGGCCGACGAGGCTGATGGCTGCCAGGCGAACGCGAAATCAACTTGGACGCGGGACAGTATCGCGTAGGTGGTTGAAACGACGACCGAGCCGGTGAAAAAAGCAACATCGAGAAGAAAGGAACGCGCGGTAACTCACTCAGCATGGCAAACGAGCTGAAAGAGCTGCGCGGGTAATTAATTGTGCTCGCGCTTTACGCGAGTCTACGTGTGTCGGATGGTTGTAAATTAGTGTGACGGAAACGCCCGGGTGGCGGGGGGAGGGAGGGGGGGCCCAGTGTGGGTTTGCAACGGTTGATGTATCATGCTTGTCGGCGAAACGAAGTAGATCGGTTCGTACGAGACGCGGATCAAAATGTGTCGCGTGTACGCGAAATCGGACTTTGAGCAGCAATACCATTCTCACAACACGAATTTAAAGATAATTTAAAATTTATGTACACGAGAAATTGTATGGCTAATTTTGTTATACATATTTTTTAGAATTTATATAAATGATTTATCGAACGAACTAAAAAATTGTGTATGTAACCATCATTATGGGACCGATTTGGTTCGAAATTCATTGAAATCGAAAAATTGCAACGTAGACTTCTAAATGTGCACATTATTCGCCATTGCACAAAATGCAAATTCGGTTACTAGTCCTTCGATCTGCAACGTTGCGAATTCCAGCGACAGAAAATAATAGCTAATTCTGAAAGTGTAGCGACGAATATCGAAGCAACGAAGACTGTTAGGAAACGTTTTAAGAGAAAGAATGCATCCAGGTGGTGAACGCGATAGAACGATCGTTTTCTTTGGCAAAATAGCTGAAACTGCATTGTCCTTGGGAGTTTGGTAAACCGCAACCCCGTCTGTCGCATACTCGAGGCTCGTTTCTCGTAGCCTGAAATCCCTATACACGTTCCCTACCTACCGCGCAAACTGGACAGACCTGCTCCGACGCCAGAACTAACAGGAAATTTCTCACTGATCTATTTCAGGAAGCAGGGAAGCAGCTTTCACGTACGCAATAAGTTCAGCGGGTGTAACGTACGCCGTGACCGCAGCTTGCAGCAGGGGCAACATCACCGCCTGCGGTTGCGAACCTACCGTAAGGTAAACTGTTCTCTTTGCCTTTGTATTTTATTCGCGCCGGTTAAGTACTCGTTACCGATAACGTGATGTACAGGGTGTTCCTAACCCGTAACTGGTGCACCTGGGTCCTGGGGAACCGAGAGAAATTATGCGCGTACACCGCGGAGAAGTGGGTTTAAGCGTTCCAGCTGGCCCAACTGGTATTCTCTTAACTTTTACGAGACTTTGAGACAATAACGTCGTCGTTCGCAGGTTACCTTTAAATCACCGTCATCTCGCCGACCACTACTTTCCTTGCCAATGCACGATTATCTGCACTCTCGTCTTCCCGTACACAAATAGTAACATATGTCGTACTGTTTGTAATGATTTCAAATATCAAATTAACTTGACTTACCTTTAATCGTAATATAAGCTACATACATGAATAATTGAAATCTTTTAACACTAGAACTACCGGAAGTGGTCAAAATGATTGTAAATAAAAATTTACTCGACTGGATTTTTACAAATTTAAATATTATTTCCATCGTTTATTATATTATCGTTTTAATTTATTTGGCACAAATAAATACACCATAATTATCGATAGTTCTAATGTTAATAGAATTAAATACAAGTAAAATTACTTTCATAAGTAATGGCGTCAAATTAAATTACTGTACCGTAAAAAAGAAAAGAGTAAAACAAGTTCGATCTGACATCGACAAACTACTTACAAAATTGAAAGAAAAAAGGAAATATTCACAATTTTTGTCCAGATCTACCTGTTTTACTTTCGTTTGTAAATTTGAGTTTCAAATAATTACATTTTAGTTTAAATTATGACTCGAATATAGAATCGAAGTTTATACCAAAAATGAGTTTGTCTCTCACTGAATATTTTTAACAATTTACTAACTCACCGGCGTTGATTTGTCGTTTTGCAGAACGCGAAAGGAATTACCACCGAATGGCTGGGAATGGGGTGGTTGCAGCGCCGACGTTACCTACGGAATGAGGTAAGACAATTAGCGTGATCCTTAATGAATTCGTCGTCAGTTCGCCGCGGCTCCCTTTGCACGTGTCAACGTGCGTGTAAAACCTCCATGACGCTGCACGTCACGACAGATGTTATACACGCATGAATTTTAATATTATAATTTAATGTTAGGTTCGCGCGTAGGTTTCTGGACGCGAGGGAGGTCGAGGGCGACGCAAGGAGTCTGATGAACCTTCATAATAATAAAGCTGGAAGAAAGGCAAGTAACATGAATTATTCATATTTCGTAAAACCTGAAACACGAACTTCCAAGTACGATTTAGCAACGCGTGAAATATTATTCGCAGTCTCGCGTACGATTCTCTAATTGCTTCGACAATATCAGCATAAACGATATTAGGCTAACCGTTATCCCAAGTTAAAAAGCTTGAAATAGACTGAAGCTGACTGAAAAATATTGAGAATATTCGCAAAGAAAAATCGAACAATGTGGCTGTCGCTTAGCTTGTATTTATTTAAATAAACATTTCGAACAACGATAAAAATATAACTTTACGATCGAATTACTGTCAGGAATAAATTGCTATATGGTGGCTTTATTGGTTATTTATTATTCGAATAAAGTAGTTTACCCAACTCCGATGTACACACGCTTGACCTCTTTGTCGAGTCCAAAGATTTTTTCGTTGCTATGTTATAAACTCACTATATTATGCTATAAATAAATAAAATACTAAAACGTAATATACGACCGTCGCGGCTGTAAACCTACTTTAAATGTTCAAGAACCTGAAAGACACCGTATAACTGAATTAGGAAAAAGAAAAGGATACCCAGTTTTCCCCCATAAAATTTCCACTTTTATAACTTCGATCTAAATAAATACTACTTCAATAAAAATATTCCTAGAAACGAGTTGTTTTGTTGCTTTCAGTGAAACAGGTATGCCTGTTATATAGAAGTCTAAAAACAACAAACCTAATCATTGCGTAATTACGATGTTACGAACAAAGGCAGGGACCTTGAGCAATCAATAACGACAGGGGTTGCAACAGAAGTAATTGACGCGCTAAGTTCTTAAGAATTATCCCCGAACAATATAATACCCTTTGAGAAACGAACTGCCAGAATTTTATTTTGTCCCAAAGGTGACGACTCGGGTAAATCTTTAAACGATCAGGTAGAAAATTGCATTTGAAGCGCCACGACGTATTTCCCCATTCTAACAGCCTCGTTTCACTTTTGATTTCCCCGTAAATCAGATAATGGCTAACTTTTTCGCTGAAATGTTTAAAGCAAGAAAATACTAAATATTTCGAGAGGAAATTATCGCTGAAAATGGAGTTGGAGAACTTTAAATCCTAAATATCACACGAGAAACTACGTTTTTCCGGGTCTGAAATGAATTTCTTCGAATTCGTGGTTAATGTAAGCTCGCGGTTCCGAAGTGGGGATGGTCGAAACGGTCGAAAATGAAACGTTTACGAGAAAGGATTACGCCGCAGGTAGTGTACGCGAACGTCGGCGTCTTAATTGGGGAAAGTTCGTCGAGCTTTCGTCTTCTTCGATGGGCTTTATTATCGGTTCGGCAATAAAAACGCGCATATATCGTGGTTGTATGATCTGTTGCGCATATAGACGCTACGGTTAACGATTTATTCTCAACGTCGATCGCCTCGCCGCGCCGCATACTTTATGCCCCGACGATTTTTTCAGCCTCCGCGTCTCTTTTGCTCCCCCTGTCTCTTTCTCTCGATAATTCGAAATGTAAACCAGTTTTCTGGTTCGCAACGCGCCGTCGATGGACGGGCAATCAGCGAGAAAACGACGAAACCGCGGCAGGATTATTTCAGTTGCACCGAATCGATCGTCGAATTGGACGAGATGTTATTTCACATACGCGGGCTCGCGAAAGTGTTCGAAGGCTATTAAATATCTGAACGATAAACGTACGCGTGTGAAACTTATGTTCAACATTTGAAACGTATAATGTTTGTAGAAGTTAGAAAATATTCGCTGTCTACCGTGAAAAAGAAAGAATTGCGCAAACGCGACGATCATTTGAATCATTACCGGCTGTAATGGTTTCTGAAACGCGACGTGTAATTCCAAATGTCACGGTTGTGTGTCTAATATAGAATGCAAGGAATCGAAATTACACGGTTCGATTTCCTCCTGGATAACGCTCGAGCATTGTTACATTGCAGATAGTTAAAGCCCTGTTGCAAACGGAATGCAAATGCCATGGCGTGTCCGGCTCGTGCACCGTGAGAACCTGCTGGCGAACTTTACCCAGTTTTCGTCAGATCGGCGACGCTCTGATGAAAAAATATTACAGAGCCAGACCTGTCGTGGCCATCACGCCGCCGCCACCGCCTACGATGCAGGTAATGTTCGTGAAATTAGATCAACATTGCTCGAATGCAACCGATAATAGCAGAAAATTACAATATCGCGTGCACTCTTATCGCTCGAGATCACCTCTTTCGAAAAACGTTAATTACGTTAAAGTAATAGCATTGATATCGTGAAAATTCTTCCAAGGCTTCGTCTTCGTGTTATTTATTTAATTTCGTTCCCGTAACGCGCAGAGTTTGGACACGTTGCACTCGACGTCGGCGGAAATGGTGCCGATTTTGGGCAACGACGCGAAGACCCAAGGGAAACCGAACGACGTTGGAAAGTCTCGACACGATCGACAACCCCCAAAGAAAGCCACCAAACCGAGACGGCCTCACTTGGTGTTGAAGAGAACGAAATCCAGTGGCGGATTGGGCATAGGTCAGAAAAGAATTCCAAAGAGAAGCGAGCTGGTCTTTCTGCAACCTTCCCCAAATTACTGCGAGCCGGACTTGGCTCAGGGCAGCCTGGGAACGCAGGGCAGATATTGCAATCGTACTAGCAGAGGTAAGAAAAACTAAATAAAATTAAGGACTAGCTGAAATTTGTGTCCTGGCACCAAAGAACACTATAAAACATTCTTAAGTAAAAAGAACCACATTTACTTTGGAAAGGAAAGGTATTGAAATATTCTAATGACTCAGGCTTTGTAAACTAAGCACCTAGTGCAAATATTACTCTACCAAATGCACGTTATCTCTATTATCCCTAAACTGTGATTCATACCACTGTACACATTCTGCTACCAAGAAACGTAATTTTGTAACTACTTGGGGAGGTGTAATTTAAGAAAATAAGAATTTATATACAGGGTGTTTGGCCACCTCTGGGAAAAATTTTAATGAGAGATTCTACAGGCCAAAATAAGACGAAAATCAAGAATATTATTTTTCCTTTCGATAAAAAATAATATAATAAAATGATTTTGTTCATGGCACAAGATTTTAATCGTATCATTCTCTAAAACATTACTCATTTATCGTGCATAATTCGCTGTACGATTATTTTTCAGGAACTGACGGATGCGATTTAATGTGCTGCGGTCGTGGCTACAACACGCATCAATTTACAAGAACGTGGCAGTGCAGATGCAAATTTCATTGGTGCTGCCGTGTGCATTGTGAAACCTGCACCGAGCGTACAGAAGAGTACACGTGCAAATAAACGTTCGAACATTTTTGCAATTTCGGCACGCAGTGATGTAAATATTTGCTGGACGTTAACCACCCACAAAGGACTCGCTACTATCCACGGATTCAAGAATTTTGTGTCAGGCGGCTAAAAATAATTTAACGTCGAGCACGTGGAAAAGTTTATGTAAAGTTAACGCGCCTAATAACGATAGTTGATAGAGCGTTCGTTTTGTGCTTGAATCAAATCGACCCTGTACACCTGTGGCGACCGAAACGCACGAGTCCTCGCCAAGCTTTGTAAAGTTTTTGTTATTTAACGTAGAGAACGATGCTCCTAGTACGTAAGTTTATAAACGATATTTAGCCCGTGAAACGAGTAAACGTGAACTAAGACGTTCGAATCTAAACTGCATGTTTTAAACGAGGGTGGCTGCAAGAGAGAAGAACCAGCGATGGGCAACATTTTATTCGAATAAAAACGACTTATTATTTCAGTTATTGGGTTGAGTCTTTATTACACTTTATAATTAAAAGCCTAATATTTATTCAACGAGTAACGATTACAAAGTTGCTCGTCATTTATTTCGTTGTTCGAAATTTTTTCTGGATAAGAATATTGCCCGTCTCTGGTAGGAACTTGAGGATTTTAAAAACTGTATTTAGAAATTATGAGAAATTTAAACGAATTTCCTGATACAATTCAAAACGATTGTGGAGCGAAAATGGAATTCTACTTTATTCCGATAGTTACGTTTGCCATTTTCACTCCACTACCTTTCGTCACATCCATACGCTCAATCGATTAGATTACATACTCAAATAATTATTCAATATTTTTATTCAACATTCCGTATAGATATACGTACGCAAAATGTACAATATCCGTGACTCCCTAATAATCTTAAGCAGTATACTCTTCACGCTTCCTATATCTTTTCCGAGGAACGATTGATTCATCATCCTCGCCCTCGTCCTCGAACTCCAACCCTTCTAAACCGTCCCCGTGCAAGAAAATACTCAAAGCGAAACGTTGCTTGCGACTTACCTTCTCTAATAGCTGAAGCAACAATCGTATCGTGTTGAAACAACACAAAATGTAATTAAATACGAATATAATTATAAGGCGCAGCGATCGACGTGTCGTTTCACTTATCGATACGAATATAATGTATAAATTCTTCATATTCGTTCGACTACATTTAGAGAAAATACTTCGTGTAGCTCATTAAAATACCTCTAACGTTAATGAACTTATATCTACGCGTATAATTACCACTTCAGATCGATCACTTTAATAACCCAGTGGTATATACAGGCTTTCCATGTTTCGTAGAAGTAGCATGTAAATTATTATTTATTAAAAACGCGACCGTAAATTATAAACGTGAGCGATGTACTTACTTGGCTTTCTTCGGCGACTAATAAACGAAACTGCATTTTTCCACGAGAGCGTTGTTATTCTTCGTTCCCGTTACGATTTCTGATTCGTGTCCTTACTGGCAACTGTAAGAACAACGACTGAGAAAATCCGTGACGAACGTCGCGTAAATTGGCCTGTGTTCGTGACAATAATATTATCGAGACGAAAGGTTGTACCTTCTGAGGGCATGAGCCAGGTAGTTGGATCGTGATAGGGAAACTACGGGACTTTTCGTCAAATGAAGGGGCAGGTATGCGGTCCACACAGGGTGTCCTGAAACAAACAATGACCAACTCGTCAAAAACGACAATATAACTGAACGGTGACTATATAAGGTAATCATTTACCACGAAATTGTCATTTTCGGTGCAAACGTGGAGCAGTGCGTGTCGAGGTGTACGTCTCTGACTTTGCAACTAACGTTGAAATTACATTCGAGCACAGAGTAAGTATACATTATTACAACGTTTTTATTAACAATTCAACGATAGTATCTCAACTTAACTTCTACAACGCACTAACACTAAAGTAAACTATTTTACTTCTACAAAATTTGTTAATTAAATCATTTTTTCGATATTAGTTTAATAGAACATTGTAATTTCGAAAAGAAACGAATTATGTGAGATATTGTTTTACAGAATAATTTGAGCACGCACGTATTTATGTTTTTCAACTAGTATCGTAAAAGTTACATATTATTTATAGTTTTTATTATCTCTTTTTTTTCGAATAAACAGTGACGAATATTCGGGGTATTTAATAATACGAAAGATTACGTTACAGATACAAATCTCGAATAACGAATACGATAGAATAATGTTATATCAGGCGATTGTTTAATCGAAAATTCTTTTCTCTTATTTGTTATAGCGTCGCTATCTTTTACTTTGAGCCTTACGATGACGATAATAAAAATTTTTATTTAAAATTTATTTCCTTTTTACAGATCGTGTACTCCGATAATATGTCGAGAATAAATTCGATTTGGAGTCCTTGCCAGTATGGACCCAGTGAATTTCGAATTGAACCAATGCCGGTGATACCATTACCATCGAATCACGTTTTGCTCTACTCCTTTTGCCCGTGTGGTAGACACAGGAGCCACTTTATCGCCCATCGGGACGTAATTCTGACTCAAATGGGAAGACATCAGTCGATGGTCTGGCAGATTCGCACGCAACAGCACCTTTATAGAATGCACGAGAGACAATTACAGACAAGATTTCGTCGATCCGACGATAACAAAGACTATCGTCAAATAATACAAATGGACGAAGAGGAAGAAATTGATCGATAAGGGAAATTGATTTAATTTAGAAATTATACTGTACAATTGTAAATACTGCGATATTGTTACGAATATCTATTATATTAACGCAAATTGTATACGCGACGAAGTACTTTTATTGAAAGTGCTAATTTTGTTGAACGATTGTAGGAGCACTAAGCAGAACGACATTTGCGTTTAATAAAAATTTTTTTTATTTTTAAGCATTATTGTATTTAAAATAATTAATAAATGTAAACATATATTTTATACAAAATATTTTTAAATACATAGTACAGTCACAGTATTCTTAAAGCCTTGAAAGACTATTATAATAATATTGTTAGTAATATTTCTATATAATTGTGATGCCTGTATGAAGTTTTTTTGTGCGCAATATTCTGTCCATTTTCCTGTCATTTACATAGAAAACATGAATGGTTTGGAAATAAAACATTACCATACGAGAACTGCATTGTTACATTTATTGAGTATCCTTAACCACTATTTCAGTTATTAGTAAAAATACTTGGCAATGATAATTAGTAATTATTTTTGCCATGCACGTAGCAGTTAAATTTTTATCTTTCTTAACAGAGATTCTGCCTCTTGTTTAGCACTATGGTCATCATCATTTTTTACTGGATATTCAGATACCATTTTTAAATACTTTAAAGCTTGTTCCTTCTGATTTAATTTTAAATAAGTTTTTCCCAGCATTAATAAATTATGGCTATAGAAATATGGATCAAGTTTCTCTGCCTTTTCAAAGTATGTCACAGCTTCATTAAATGATGAGCTTGGTGGTTCTTGAAATATTATAGATGACAGTTTTCTTTGATGCCACGATAAACAAGAAATATGATAACACCATGTACCTAACATGTACATGGTTGTTGCATCATTCGGATTGAGTTCTATTGCTCTCTGTAATATCATACATATGTATACAAATTTACAAATGATTTGTTTTATAGTATAATATTAAATAAAGCTATGTAAATAGAACAATATTTAAACACAAATATACTATGACATACCAGCATATGTTTCTTGACATTGTATAACTGAGTTATTCGTACTCTTGTGCCTTCATAATTGCATTTACTGTCAAGAATGACTGACATCCATTTATGTACAGCCCAATGATCCTCTTTTATTTTCAAAGCATTAGATAATATGTCATAAGCTTCAAAAATCATTTTTTTTTCTTCTATATCACTAGCATCTTGAGACATTTTATATAATGCTCTGCTTAGACGCCACATAATTTCAACATCTCCACTATCCTACAAAAATCTGTTATAACTTCTAAATCCTACATATATGTATGTAATAAAAATTATATTTACTCTATAATTTGACAAAAGATCATATAATTCTTTATATTGCCCTTGGTCAAACAGTGCATCAGACTTTGCTATTAGAACTTCTTTTGCAGTTATAACCGATTCATTTTCACTTTTTTTTTTGGTAAGGCCCCATATGCCCATAGTAGCAAGCGAAGTTCCAGTACATAACTTTGTAGCAAATGCATATTGATTATTGATCTATCAATAAAAACTGATTAAATACTTTTCTGTATATTAATAATACTTTTCGCAGGCAATTAATACTAGGTTTATATTTAAATGTTCTTTGTGAAAAGGTTAGAAATTATGGAATTAAAAGTAACATCTATATAAAATGAACTTTGAAAACATTATGGTATGCTGGAAATATGGACAAAGTAAATAGTTCCACGTATCTATAACCTCAAACCTTTTGTGAAAACTGAGAACTCCTATGGAAAAATGATCTTTGCAATACTTTCGTATTTTTTGTAAATCGTAAAACTTTCTGTACCAACATTTTAGGTTAAAATATTTAAAAATAGTATAAAAAAGCTAATATAACATATAATAAATTTAAATTTGAATAATAAATCACTGTTAAATTATTGTAATTTATTTTTATAACTAAACGCTTAAACTCCCATCATACGAGAAACACTACTTCCATACTTGGCATTAAATTTTACTCAATCCTCATTCCTCAATCTACTAAAGTCTACTGATATGTTATATAGATATTTTCTATTTGATGTATTAAATAAAACTATTTGATTAACTGAACAGAAGAAACGATATATTAGAATTAGTAATAAGATATTGATTCTTTAAATAGAAACATAGAAATTGTGCATGCTTTTATTATTACCCTAATTTGAATTAAACATCGCTATTAATTGATAATATTATAGTAAATTAGTTTCAATAATAGCTATTTATTAACAAATCTTTGACAGATCCAGCATGAAAGAAAATTTTTATAAACAATTCATATAGTTTACAATAAAATTTCATTGGTCTACTGTGTCTTTATTTAAGAGTTTATCATAGATCCGATGTCCGATGCATATAGCGTTAATAAATACATCATTAATGTTACTTCGTTTTACATATATTTTTTCATATTGACTTTTTCATTGCAAAACTATAATTATTATACATGACTAGTAATTTATGTAAATTCTATTAAATTTATATTTATTTCTCGTTGAAAGTATATGTAATTTATATTTAGAATTAGTCCAAATATGAAGATTATATACATATTTGATTTAATACAAATGAATTATAATATTGATTCACATATCTATGAATAATTTTCATATAATTGAAATACATTTATTTTATTTTCATATAATAGAATGCATTGTGTACTATAAATTGCTTGCATGTACACAAAAATAAGATGAATTGTTAATAAATATAATTTTTGCAAAATCCGTAGTATATCTATTCTATGACAGAGTTCATGTAAATTAAGCTTTAATGTATATATTTCAAAACGCACATGAGATATGCACTATATACAGTCTGTGTTAGGTTATACAAAATAAAATAAACTTGTGGGGTGTTTTAATGGCGTTTTTTATAAGATAATTATAACTAATTCTAGTCGTGACTGTATCATAATTACAAAAATGCGTATGTCTATAGCTAAACCTCTTTATCATTACTCAGTAGCCATAGCTACTGTGGGTGGCTGCTATTTATTGAGGTAATTATATTTTTGTAACATAATCCAATAACTTCAGGTTTTTCTTTAGGTAGATTACATATTGATGAAAAATCCAATAACATAATTTATCATTTTTCATGTATAAAAACAATGATAAACATTAAGTCATATTCATGTATATTATTATTTGTAGGGATTACCTTACTGGTGGTGGGTATGATAATAAAGAAGAATTAAACGATAAAATTGCTATTGTAACAGGAGCAAATACTGGTATTGGCAAAGAAACAGCTTTTGATTTAGCTAGAAGGAAGGCCAAAGTCATTATGGCATGCAGAGACATGAACAAATGTGAAACAGTACTTATACTATTATTATTTCATGTAGAATGTAGAATTCATGACAATATTAAGTATTTTCCATACTTCTAAATTTATGTTATGTTCTAATCATTATTATTTAAAAGTTTTTCTCTTCTTTAGACACGCTATGAAATAGTAATGGAGACTAGGAACAAATATGTGTATTGTAGAGAATGTGACTTAGCATCTCAAGAAAGTATTAGAAATTTTGTAAACCAATTCAAAAAAGGTATGTAATAACATTTTGTGTTAAATTCATTATTGAATCTTAATCTAACAAAATTTTCTTCAAGCAATGTAATAATATAATATGAATATTTTCTTTAATTTTAGAGCATTCGCGATTGCATATTCTTATAAACAATGCAGGAATAATGAGATGTCCTAAAAGCTACACTAAGGAAGGAATTGAAATGCAATTTGGTGTCAATCATATAGGACATTTCTTACTAACAAATTTGTTATTGGATGTTTTAAAAGATTCTGCACCATCGAGAATTGTAAATGTTTCAAGTGTTGCTCATAAACGTGGTAAAATAAAAGTGAAAGATTTAAATAGTGAAGAAAAGTACAATCCTAGTGATGCATATGCTCAAAGTAAATTAGCTAATGTCCTATTTACAAAAGAACTAGCAAAGAGACTAGAAGGTACACAATAGTTGTTTCTAATAAATAGAATAAATAGAATTCTTATTCTTGAATAATTTTGATTTGATTATTATTTTTTACTCTGTTATCTAGGAACTGGTGTTACAGTAAATGCAGTCCATCCTGGTACAGTCAATACAGAAATAGTACGACATATGACAGTTTATAAATATTTCATTACTCGTATCTTTGTAAAACCTTTAACATGGTTGTTCGTTAAATCGCCTAAAAAAGGGGCACAAGTTGTTATTTATTCCGCAATAGATCCATCTTTGAATGATGTAACTGGTGCTTATTTGAAGTAAGTTTTAATATAGTTGGTTAAAAACAATGGAAAATTATTTCAATGCTGTTTTTATTGCAGCATCTACAACATTGCAGATGTTTCTGCCGCAGCAAAGGATGACCAAATCGCAAAATGGCTGTGGGCAGTTAGTGAAAAGTGGACTAAATTAAATTATGTATAATTACATCATATATCATTTAATAATAAAGTGTTACAAAATATTACCCAATTATTGTATAATTTTTATGAAATCAAACACATAAATAGAGCATTGAAAAATATATTTGTTTGTTATGTATTCTAATTCTAAGTTCAAGGAACAAAAATTACTCAAAGTTGAGGGAATGCCTACTTAGTTAAATATCTAAAAGAAATTAATAGATGTACATGCTTCATGTCAAACATTCTTTTACATAATATTTTTCGTTTGAAAACATTGACACAAAATTTTTAAATACAATGTAAAATAAAATAAGAAATAATTATATACTTACGAAATTTCAAATTCTTCATCCTTTTCGGCATAATATCTATTGAAACACATTGCATTTGTATGTTTCTTTCGCACTGTTCTACTTTTAAATAACAGAAAATCACAATAAATTACTTTAAAAACTATTCAATTAATACGCTCTACGACACTTAATTCGTACGTGTAACGGTCACGAATTCAAACTATACAAGTCAAAAGAGGGAATGAAACGTACAGATGCGCGCGCATGCGTTTTAATGCTCTTTCTAGACTCTAGTATTTGCAGTAAATGCAAATTTAAGGTTAAATGACAACGGATGTTCGAAGTGAACAGATGATTATTGTTTATACTTTCTTAACATTATTTGTATGAGAAGTATACACGTATTTATTCATACACATTGCAATTGAATATATACTTTGTACGTAATGCATTATTTAGTAATTTAACGTTAATAGATTATAAATAATTGATAAATTAATAGGCATTATTTTGTATAGGGAAAATTGTTTAATATACAATATGATGCCTAAAGTGTGGGAATCAGCAGATAAACGTGTAAGGAAAGATATAATAAAATCTTGTGAATTTTCTAAAAAACCGACGGAACGTGCCAGTTGCGAGGTTGTCATTGAAAACATACGCGTTGAAAATACATCTCTAGACCAGTTGAAAGAAACATTGCATTTGGACATTTTAGATGGAACAGGTAAAAAAACATTAATAATAGGGGAAGCAAATTGCGAAATAGATAGCTTAGTCGAACGAGCTATTGAGATGATGATGGTCCTTGAAAAAAGTTTAGTTACATTATCTGTATCATTTCTTGATCAACCTATACTTATCAACTTTGAGATAACATTAACTAAAATGCAACCACATAAGCCAATTTGGGAATGGACACCACAAGAAAAATATTTAATAGCATTGAAATATAAAGAAACTGGTGTTTGTTTATTTAAAGAATCTAGGTGGGTAGATGCATTTCATAAGTTTACTAAAGCTTGCAAAATACTTATAACTTTGGAGCCAATACCTGATTTAGAATTGGATACAAAATTAGAAAATGACATTAATAATTTGAGGCTTATATTATATAACAATATTGCTGGATGCCAATTAAATCGTCAGAATTATGAATTGACAATATCTTTGTGTGATAAAATTTTGAGTAAAGACTGTAATAATATTAAAGCATTGTACAGGAGGGGTATAGCACATGGGAATTTAAAAGATTATGACAGTGCTGTCAATGATTTAAAAACTGTTGTTACATTAGAACCTCAGAATCGTGCTGCACAGGCACAATTTTCATTTTACAATACAAAACTAATAGAGACAAATAAAAAAATTGTAAATATGATAAAAAAAATGTTTAAAACATAAAATACAAATATTGTTGTACTTATCTGTGATGAAAGAATGGAATACATTTGTATTTTGTAAATAGAAAAATATGCATTTATTTTTATCCACAATAATTAACACTACAATTAGACTAAGTCATTTTAAAATTACAACTAAGAAAATCTGTTGCAATATGCAACCTTACAACTATGTTTATTCACATTATTATTAGTATTATTATTATTATTATTATTATTATTATTATTATTATTACAATATTGTTATTACAAAAGCGTGCTTAAAATATGTTTTGTGTACATGACAAATATATAAATGTTTATAGCAAATAATAACATTACATTATTTGTCAATGGACCATGTTTCATTAACCTGATACTACTTTCTGGTAGAACTCACAATCAAATTTATTAATGAAATGTCTCAAAATTTATTTCTGTACGTTTATTTTCTTCTTGGTTTATGATTCACTAAAGTTATTAAAATTATTACACGCAAAACAAATATTTATTGGAAGTCCATTCTTTCAGTTGCAATTGCATTATAAAATTGATTGGGCAATATATGGTCGAATAACAATGAGAGAATAGTAAATTTTTTTTTCGTTTCTTATATTTAAATGAGATATTAATGTACGACAAGTAAATTTCAATTAATATATGGTTTAAATCAAAGAAGTTCTAAATATTGGTAATGACACTTTTACCAATATGCGAAAGTCCGTATCTATCGGTTAAATGGATCTTTTTTTTTTTTCTTCGAATTAAAGTAAAAGTGACCATTAACAAATTGAAAAATAATTAATAAACAATGTCTCTTCATTTTAACCACCACCGTAAAATTGTGTTACTCCCATTTTATTATTAAAATGTAAAATATGAAATCTTCTACTGTTTACATGGTATAAAAACATGTATACATGTAACAAGTTTCAAGATGCATTTATTAATCCAGTTTATAGATGATGGTGTATCACATGTACTCAAAAATGAATATTAGCTCGATTATAAATTAACAATCATTATCAAAAATATTATAAAAATTAAATATAATATATATTAATATTTGTTTGGCAAGATAATTCAATTTTAATCAGGGTTGTGCGGGATCTTGATATTCGCGACGGGACGAGATCCTAAAAATGCTCAGGATTATACTTGTTATTTCCTTGATATATTATTTTCACTTCACCTCTTATAATTTGAAAAATTTAGAATAATTTGTTTCGAGCATTCTAGAGGAACTCCTGTCCCGTTCCTACCCGAAACTTTCGGGATTCTGATAACCTCTGATTTTAATATATTTTCGCAATTAGTTAATTTATCAAAACTAACTACGTGTTTTAACAACCATTCTTCATTGTATTCGCGTAATTTGGCACTTATGCAAATAAAAATGAATAGAAATGATTGACTTTGCTATGTCTACAATATCTATTCAAAGGAAAATAATTAATATTTTTCCTAACAAAAATGATATTCTCTATTTAATGAGAATAAAATCTGCCACACTTAATATGCAAATTTGAGCACTATTAACCCCTTCCCGTACTTTAACGAATCTGACTCGCGATGAAGATTTTGGCCCAAACATGAATACCACGAGCCAGACTCGCAGACAGCAAATGACGATCGTGATTGAGTCACGAGTCTTATAATCTCTGTCACAAAGCAATTTAGCATTAGTCTGGGCCCGGATTTCGTCCAGCTAAATGGCACGGGAAGAGGTTCACACCATACTGGCAATAAAATTCATCTTATGAACCACCTATGTATGTTTTTGTACGTTTCATTTAATATATTCAATACAATTTTACGTCGACAACTGATAAGTAAAATTTCAAACAATTAAAGTCTATTATTTTTTACTCTTTTTAAATTTTAATTTCAAAGATGTATAGAAATTTAATATACTTTTGTCTGCTCTTCCCTCGTCTCCAAATTTCATGTCGATCGGTCGTGGGTGCTATTCGAAAGAATATTTATACTATTTTGTTTATTATTTGCGGTCCATAAGATATTAAAATTAAAGCAATATATCTATATTAGACTGTTGTTGCCCATTTTTTAGACGCGATCAACTAGGTACGTATATCGTGAATTTTGTTTAGAATTCGATAAATGTGAAGAACACTGAGAAGTATTTACATTTTAATTTATTAAAAAATTATTCAATACAATAGTAAGTGATATAGAATAAACCTGGCACAGACATAATTGAACTTGTTTGTTCATATATAGAATAATGCATAAATGTACAAAGTGCGTATTGTTCAAATTTTTGTTTAAAAATATTTTTATATGTTACTCTTTGTGACATTAAAATGCACTTAAGTACTTTTTTTTCTTCAATCTAAGTAACAAGTTATAAGTTATATATGTATTTGATGATATCAAAACATATAAAAGTACTTATATTTCTTCGAAATGGTTTTCTTTTTTAAATTTATTTTAATACAAAAGAAAAAGAAAAAAAATTAAAGCTAATTATAAACAGTAACAAACCCAAAAATAATAGTTTTTATCCAAATTGTAATATCGTTTACCAGTAATTGTGGAATTTTTTATTTCTCTAATAGTATAATATTAATGATCATAAACAATACTAATAACCATGATTTTCAACAATCTAATATGGAATTATAATCAAAATATACTGTATATACATTCACAGTCGCTTCGGATTAATATAGTCAACGCAGTGTTTCTTATTGTGACTTAAGAAACAAATAGTTATTTATGGCCTCATATTGAATGATCAAAACTATGAAATTTTGTTATGTCACTTACTCGATTTTAATACATTGATGTATGTTTTAATGGACTCTAGAAATTGAGTTATGAAGGGAATGAATGTTATGTTAGCTTAGCCTTGCCATTAGAAGTAACAGTGGCATTCATTGTTGTATTTGTAGCTATTTCAGCAGCCTGAGCCACTGCAACAGAAACTGACTTCTCCACAAATTGTTGGTAGAGTGGCTTCATGAACTAGAGAAAAACAAAAATAATATATTTCTAACATTAATACTGGTTCGTATAAGAATATTACTAATGTCTAAATAAATTATTATGGTTTTTAATCCTGTAGGTGTAAGATAGTATACGATATCTGAATACGAAAAGTAGAATATTCAGGTAAAAATACAATTGTATTATTTTTAAGACTAGTTCAACAAAATGTGTTATTTATGACACAATAATAGTTTTTCCTAATACTTGAGATGCATATGAAACGAATATTAGTTACTTCTATATTAACTATAAGCAAATGCCATACCTCTTGGATACTTCTTCCTATTAGCATTCGGCTTATCATGAAAATTAAGATACAAAAAGAAAAAGGAAAGAAAAAAGAGAGAAAGAAAGAAAAGAAAATAATATTAATGTCCAAACTGATATAATTAAAATGCAAGGTATCAAAAATAACGGAATGTAAATAATAAAATGATTAAATAATTATAAAAATACAAAAATCTGTTTCGTAAAAAACATAAATATTTTATAGAGAGAAGACACTTCTTTTCTTTTTCCTCTTCTTAAAAAAAAAAGTAAAAATATTTATATATTTTAAATGCTAATATAATAGCAGTATACTACAGTAAGTAGAAATATAGTACATGTATTCCAGACCTGTAGAAATAAAAAATGGTAGGTATGAATTATGTGTGGCAAAATGATGAGTATTAACAAGTTGAGTGCGGACACCAATATGATGTCTTTTCGTTCAAACCTTGTCGGCGAAAATAACATTAATATAAGTGCACTATCGAAGGTATCGAACGTTTCTAGAAATTTAGTAGCGTTCGGTGTGAATGAAAAGACACGAAAAATTTGCTCGATACTCAACGTGTTATTATAGAATGCATTTACATTTCGAAATTATTATATACAGGGTATAATGCTGTAGTAAAGTAAAATATCGGTCTTTTAGCATTGATAATCAGGAGTGTGCGAGATCACAAAAATTCCGGGTTGGGATGGGACGCGAATTTTTCACAGGAACGGGCCGAGATTCCGAAAATTTCGGGTTCCTGAAAATGTCCGGAATTCTTGAAGATATTTGGGAGTCCAGAGCCGTCTTGAATAAATTCTTCTCGACTCATCTCAAGCATCAGAAGCTCGAGAGTTTTAATCGTCGCATATCACTGATTCAAGGTTTCAATTTTTAACACACTTTCGAGCTCATCAAATTTCCTCGCTCGTTTGTACAGTTTATACAACGGAACACAAATAGAAGATGGAGAGAAAATAATACATCAAGGAAATAACAACTATAAAATCTTTTATTTAAAATTTTTGTGAATCGTCCCGATCTATCTCTCGAACATCTTCAGGAATCCCGGGCATTTTCGGGATTCCGTCTCAGTAAGAATCGTAAAAATTTGCCATTCGTGGATTCGAAATATCGAGGCTATAAAAAATATTCACACAAATTTCTATTCAAAGAATATTCAGTAAGTTGTATATTATTCTTTGATGTTTAGTATACATAAAAACTGGAGAAACCTTAGGGCATTTTTTAAAAAGTTTTACATGTTAAATTTAAAAACAGTTAGTTGTTCTCGTGGCTAATGATACTTTACGCTCTTTTACTAATGCATTATTTTCAACATACACTCAACATATACTATAAACAGGTAAATCTCATCAAAAAGTACAAATCTCTAAATTGTGTATTTAAATAGTCAAGTATACATTACTTACATTATCCCATAAAATATTTGCCACCTCATCCAGTATTGCGCCGAACGGTCTGAAATTACCACTGTACCTGTACGAACGAAAACAATTGTATAATGAAACAGTGTCAAAGCAGAAAGGAGTTTCCGTGCGAAAAATTGTTACATACCTTATGTATGTCCACAAAATAAGAGTCATTATACAAATACTGACAATAAGATTACAAATGTTCGCTAGCGGGTATAAACCAGTAAAACCAAATATTCCAGATGAAAAGTACATTGTGGCAGCAATTACGAAAAATACTGCGGGAGTTCGTGCTGCTTTGAAGATATTTTTGCTTTCATTGTGCGCCTTGAATTGAGTGAAAGCTTTATCCATATCCTACAATAAACAAGAAATTAGATATTTAATATACAGAATTCTGTTTATGATATTCCAAGATTATAATAACAGAACTTCTATTCTTTCTTACCTTCATTAATTTGTCCATGTATGTCTGACTGAACTCATCCCCTCCCATTTTTCTTTTATTTTGGAAAAGATTGATAGCTTTATCGACAGAACGCAAGTGTTCTGTTTCTAAACGTGCAGTTGCTAAAAATGGTTTTGTCCCCCCGCAAACAACTTCCATCGAACGTAAATAAACATCCTTGGCCTCCGCTACCGCAGTTAAATTATTTGCTTCTGCTGTTGCCTGGAAGTAAATAACGTATATAGAAAATGTCAAGTTAAAATAAGATTAATAAGATACATAATCGAAGAGTAAAAACTTACCACCAACATACTTTTAGGTTCAGGAAGCTCGTCCCCTTTATAAATTTTCATGTAACTCTTAAAGTATTCTAACAAATCTTTTGCTTTCACAACCTGGCCGTTAATTTTTTTTGTAACTAAATTTTCTGGGGCCAACAACATAGGTATCAGTTCCTTAAGTTGATTCTTAAATTCAGATTGGATCTCTGACAATCTACCATCGAAGTTGGGATTGGTGGCAATATTGAGACCTGGATGTGGCATAAGGAAACAAGATATCTCCGAGAAGCAAGATTTTATATGCTTTCTCAGGCTCTGTAATTCCGGGTGTTGTCTGTCGGAAATTTCTAATCTCCTTTGTAATATCTTCTTTCCGCCACTCGCGCCATAGTCCGCTTCGTATGGGTAACTCCAATCTCTCACTAAGAATTGCAACTTTTGGAACGGCGTGCTTCCGGAGTTCTCTAACGCCAGCCTACCGTATTCGGTAAAAAGTTGCAAATGCTGGAGATCATCCTCTTGGATGTTTTGTGACAGATTATAAATTTGTACGGATGACAACATTGTGCTTAGAGCAAACACAGTTGCACAATCCCTAACAGTGGATTGACTATCAAAAGCACCTTGTGTATCCATTAAAATCACAGCAACTTTTTCGCCGGTCGATAAAACGCCAGGGAAAACCTCTGACCACATTAAAATTCCCGTTGTGTCTCTCTCGGAGCCTCCTTTCCACGAAAAGCCATTCAGGGGTTCATCTTCTTTTCCCAACCAGAAGTCCGTTTTGTTGTTGTTCTTATACTATTATCATTAATTTTACGATTAGTTTTCCGGATAAACTCGATGTTCGTTGAGAACGTACCTGATAATTCATATAACGAAGGAAAAAATCGAGCAGGAAGCTTTTGCCTTTCCTAAAAGCTCCTGCTACTGAAACAACAACAACACTCCGATCTTTGATATTAGGTTGGAGAAGAATTTCTGCCAAGGCTTCTTCATTTAACTCGAAGGAGTGATCTGGATGAGCAAGCACAACTGGTATGGGTCTTCCTTGGTCCGATGTCTCTTGACTATTTACGGAGACTCGCTCTATTCTTTCTTGCCAACCTAAGTCTAATGAGGTTCATAATGGCAAAAATGTATCCATTTAATCGCGTAACACTTGTACAGCAAACATGATTCACATTAACAAACAGTAGCTAACACATAAGTTTGGTTTTATCAGTTCATACACAAAATTACTGTACAACATTCTCATTATTGTTACATAATCACAGCCAAACATGCCAAAACGATTTCAATGAAAGAGTGTGGCAAAAAATAAATTATGTCACTCGAGAAAAAAGCGTGGTGTGTATCAGTATATCTAAATTTCCAAAAGAAGGTACCTTTTAGTTGTATTTTAATGTTGTTTACATTTTCTATTGTCCCATTAGTTACATTTTGTTCGTAAGACGGAAACAATACCAAAGAAATACGTGCATAGTTGGCATAGGAAGTGGAGTAATACATAATTGTTGCATAGTTTGCAGGTTTCAAGGGCCCCGTACCACTTTCGTTTTCAAACACGGTCTCCATGGTACGCGAGTGCCGTTAAACGATAAAGTACGTGGAAATCTCACATCGTTTGTTTCCTTTCTGTTTCTATAACACGCGTGCAATTGCTATGCGGATTAAATTACCATTAGATCCATGTGTGTACGGCTGTTTATACGATTATCTTCCAAGTACACGGTACATGCATAGGGTATAGGAGTCAGAAACTTTAAGAGGTGGTTCATTATTACAAATATTAAGTTAGCCTACTTAATGCATCTTACTTGTGCATGGATATCAATATAGACCACGTTAAACCAGATTTCTATAAACGTCGCGTGGACTATGACCGTTTAAACTGAACGGCGATAACGAACGTGTTAAATAATTAATAATCTGCCTTATTTAACCAATCAGAGGCACGTGTGTACTAAATTGTAAGCAAAGAAAACTGTGAAGAAACCAGTAACTTATGCTAACAGCAAGTTCAGCTCTCGTTATAATAGACACTGATAATTACAAATGAATAAAAACGATTTAATAGATAGGTGCGCAAAGTCCGATCCTTTTAACGAGTCTATCCGGGTTCGCGAAACAATGTTAAAAACAAGTTCAAAAAATATGCACGAAAAAAAGACGTGTAATTATTATTGTAATTGGAATAATATTTTACAAAAATGTAACAAACTCTTATTCAAATAACGCATTTTCTCTCGCAAGTATATTCAGTGGCATTTCCAATTATTAATATGAATGAAAATAAAACCAGGAACTAGTTTCGAGACGAAATCGTAATTACTATCAGGCAATTTCCTACAACTTTATTAGGGTCAAATGTTAAACAGCTTGTGTTTGAGATCTGTAGTATATTTCTTCGTAGTCTAGAGGCCGTTGGAAGATACTTTAACTCGTTCGTGGCCATTGAATTTGTATTGTTATTATAATATTTTTTGATCGCTAAATTTGAATTCCATTCAGGGACATTTTTTTTGTCGAGCCTCTGACGTGGTTGCAGCGTTGACACCGAGTCGCTGGAATAATTAAGCACGACCGGGGTACGGTCGACGAGGCAGTCAAAGCGTTAAAAGCGCTCCGTTCCCAAAGGATTAATACGCCTCCTTGCGTGCAAGAAATTTTCTTTTTGCCCGACATTGTGTCCATCGGAGCCATGCGTCCGCGCAGAAACGGCCGACGCGATTTCTGACCCGGACTCTTTGATATTCCGCGAAGCTATCACTCAGGATCGTATTTAAAGCGACGAGCAGACCGAGGCAAGTCCCAACGTCAACTACAAGGAACTTAAACGAGCTGGAGCGTTTCAATCTAACGTGACGAAACGTCTCCGAAGGAGCCCCTGAGCGATTACTTATTGCAAGCGAACGGCCAATTATACTCGCGCGAACACTAATTCTACCTCCTCTCTTCGCTTCCGTCTTCAGCTTTTACGCCCGGGTTTCCTCGTCACCGTCGTCGCCGTCGACAAAATACACACCGTCTGCCATCCAGCCACATCGGTGCCTTGCAATCTCGCATTTACACGAATCATTAGCGCATTAAACTCGTAAATACAGGGCGTCGAATTTCTCATCTGGAACGAGACGCGCGGCAGCCAGCGAGAAAAACGAAATACGAGAATTTAATTAACCGAAACGTTAGCGGGCTGAATTGAAAAGAAGGAAATACTGTGATGCAATTGGGGCAGTAAGAATATATATCGCTGAATACGGGGGGGGAGCGGGCTTTCGAATTTCCGCGAAAGCAGAAAATACGGTGTATAGTACGCCATTGGCCGATAAGGAAATTCAATAAAGTTCATTACTCGATACGGCGAGAAATTAATCACGCTTTTGTTGCAGATATTTTATGTCGAAATTATTTCGAACGTACCTCGAATTCAAATCAATAACGTCGAACGTAAATTAATATATGGTAATTGTTTCGCTCGATAGCGTGAAAAATTATGTCAACGTGGCGAGGTAAAAAGGTTAAAAAGGTTACTAAAATTCGTTTCGTCTTGAAATAACAATTTTTCCACAAAAATTTGTGTTGAAAATCTCTTCGTATTAATCACGCGATTCAACTTAGTAAAAATGTAAAAAATCAATACAAACTCAAATTTATAATAAAAGTGCGATTTCCGATCAAGTTGGAGAATGGTTCAAAATGTTCAGAAAAGGTCAAAGCATCAAACGTAGGCAGGGCTCTGGGAGGCCAAGGATAATCGATCAAAGAGCGTTACGTCGAAAATTCAAGCGCGACAAAGACCGATACTACTTATAATTTGTCTATACAAATATGTTCTGTCTGTAGTTTTTTACTGGTTTTAAAAAGTTGGCAAGCGGTGAAAAAATCGAGAAATTCTACGGAATGGCGATTTCCTATGACTCCAGGTATCTGAATTGATCGAGAAAAGTAAAACGGTTGAGGAAACAAAAAAATGTCATAAGACAAAATTAAACGGCTCGAACGATGCACAAACTGAATGTAAATCTGTTCATTTTTATGCATTGATGCATCTGGAAAATACAACTGCATCCTTTTTTTAAACTAGACTACAGTACCATATATGTATACTCACGTTACAATACAAATTTTTCAATCTTTCCCTTACGTTACTTGACATCTTTGTGGCCATAAAATTGGACCTCGTGAACCAATCCAACTGCCTTCGTAAATTCTATTTAAATAACTTGTAGCAACTGAAGAATCATGTGCCTGAGCACCGTCCTCTCGAAAGTATTTTAATCTTTGCCGCGCAGATAACGGAATATCTACATCGGGTAAAAGAATTGGATGGTAGAATTCTAAAAGCGGTTCTTCTGCTTGGTCAAGGTTTCGTTAAAAAAATAAGGTCCAACAATACATTTATCAAATATGCTACACCAAACTACACTGTTGGAGGACCATTAGTATCTTTTCTACAATGAGGGGTTTCTCTAAACCGTGTGTGTTCATTACGTCGATTGAGTATACCGTTATTAGTAAACATAGCTTCTCTACAAAGTTTCAACATAGTAACGTTTGTCCATTAGAAAAGAGACAAGGATGTAAGTAAAATTAACAAGAAAGGGTCAACGGTCAAAACGTGATCAGGGAGCCTTAAAACCTAATTTCTCAATGAACCAACATTTCGTTTGCAGTTTTGTCAACCCTGATTTTCGTTTCATTTTAGCGTGCAGAATCACCTCTCGAAGTATCGGGCACCGTGTATATTCAGAAACAGGATTCTACGTGCAGGTGTGCCATATACAACGACGAGTAAAAAAGTTGTCGCGAGCGATGCACGACTCCCAATTGGAGGCCTCGCGCCATACGTGCGTCCGTGACGCTTCAACTTTTTTCCTCCACAGTGTAGACTCGAGACGTTGGTACAAAACTGGTTCAATCTACATCGAGCGTAAGCAACATTGAATTATATTATAATTAAAAATTGCGAATTTTTTCGTCCATGTGTCTGGGATCGTATTGCTTTTGCGTGCGAATAAAAATCATGCGAAGGTCGAGGAAAAGTAAAAGGCAAATATAGGATGATTTGTGCTCCAAAGCCAGAATTAAAACAATAAAATATAACAATAAAGAAAGCATCGAGGAAGCAAATAATAATCGTCGGTTGCAGAGGATAAAAAACTCACCCACTGGTTCGTTTGTTGTATACACCCGTGGTACACGGTTCACGTTCTCGTCGAGGGTCGTCATCGAAACTTTCTCGGCTGAAAGCAAATTTTTGAACGCACATTTAGCCACATAGGTTTTCTCACATTCGATTTATTTCGATTTTCGCGAACAGACGCATACAAACGGATTAAAACTCGAGCATAAAATCTATTCGAGCTACAAAACGTGCGGTATGAGATTCCATCACGCGAGTTACGCTGTGAAAATTATTACTCCGGGGCTTCTGGTAATAAGCCAATATTCTTCGCGACTTAAACTTTCTACATCAGCCTGTGCTTAAATGCCCCGGCGTCTTATCCCCGTTGCATTTCGAAGCTTTCCATTACGAATCAATTATTCGCGGATAAATTATCGCGTAGACGTTGCGTTTTCGATAAGTTTCCGTCGTAACTTCGACTCCCTGCTCGCGGTCTCGCGCATAAACGTTGCATTTCGAAACACTTCGAACTCCGACTATCGCGAGAAACCGTTCCCGGTAACAGTAAGTTTCTGGTAATAAGCCAAAACCATCCCCGCGATCGAATCTTCGCATTCTATCGAACGTATCTCGCGTTTGAGCGATTTTACGTCACGGTCGTATTTTGAGGTCTATCACCGACTCTGTTATTGCAGAATCTGTTGCGTTCCCGAGTTTCTGGTAATAAGCCAATTTCCCTTTGGGACCGAAACCCCTCGAGTTCGATCGTAGCTAAAGCTCTACTCGGTCTTATAATTAAGCGGTCACTTTACGTCACAATCGTAATTCGAGATTCCACGTTAGAACCGACGAATTCCATTACGACTCTGTTACGTTTCTGGTGACGAGCCAGCACGTTTTTACGATCGAATCGTCGGGGATCGATCGTGTCTGATCCTCGATGTTTGCGCGATTATAAATTTTTTTGTCGTCGCGAGCGTATTTTCAGCGCACCGCGGTTCACTTTCTGATGGCCGGTCTCATTATCGCGAGTCGGTTGGGTCCTCATCCTCGGCGGCCTGGTCGGTTCCCTTGACCTGGTTACCGGTTCCTCGGGTCGTTTCCGACTCGACGTTATCTTTCTCTTCTCGCTCATCTTTGCTCACTCGCATTCGTCGCGGGTACCCGACACGCACCAAAAGGGAACACGAACGCACGGGCAAAACGAGAAAACGGGCAAACGAGACGGCACGCCACGCATAGATGCTCCGCGCACAAACGATCGAGTACTAAGTCGCGAGAGAACCGACTAGAAATATCCTGGTGGTGGTGGCCAGCCGATGGGCCGTGGTCAGCGGCGGAGTTCGCGAGTTGGCAGCATCCCACAATCAAGAAATACCGGTGAAACCTGGGTGACACGGTTGGTGGCGTGTCACCTTGTACTGCGACAGGCCTCATATGGCACGGTATTCTTTATCGTTCGCCCGGTAATTACTACTCCCGTCAAACGGTACATTTTTACCTAACATTGGACTCACCAAACAGTAAAAATAGTTTAAAATTAAAAAAAGAAATACTGGAATTTAGGGGAAGCATTTTGTATTTATCAATTTCGTCTCTATCACTTTTGGTTTTAGGATGGTTTCTGAATGCATTGTGTGATTATACAAAGTACGTAATAAGTAATATACCTAACCCAGACTAAACAGCCAAAATAGTTTAGAATTTAAAAAAGAAATACTCAAAATTTAGGGAGAAGTATTTTATATTTATCAAATTCTGTTTTAAGATGGTACCTGAATGCATTGTGTAATTATACAAAATGCGTAATAGGTAATATTTATAGTGAATCCTTATTTGATTACGATGTTATACGTTGATTAAAAAGAAAGGCTTAGAGGTAGAATATTAGAATGAACATTTTGAAAAAATACTATAAATAAGATTAATATCCTGAGTCAATCCATTGGTTCATTGCAATTTTTTGTGTAGAGTATCTTGTGAAAAAAAGTAATAAAACATGTTTGAATATAAATATAACAGTATCGAAGTGCTGTTTTAATATCTATAAATAAGTAAAAACTGAACGTCTGAACGATCATTATGCATTCCAGTATGCAGTTCTGATTATCATTTTTACTGTAATTTTAGTAAAGTGTACTGCTTATCAGTATTAAACATGGCTTGCATTTTCTAATGCATACCTGACGCTCATAGTTGTATGCGTTTGTGGCTCTGTTCAGCAAACGAGTACAGTATTCCATATTGTAGCCAACTCTTATACGAGTAAAATTATGATTTCGCTAATAAAATTTATTATTTGGAAATAAAGAATTCGTCGAGATTCCGTAAAATCTTAATGATACCGTAGAACCTCGACGATTGGTCGAGAGTGCAGTCGACGAGGGGAAGGGATGATCACCTAACAACAAATGAAGATGTAAGTGGAAGTAATTGGCAGTAGTGGAGATGTATTGTGTAGTTAAATTGGTCACCTCGACTATTGCACGAACCTGGATTACCGCAGGAATTTTTAGCCCTGTTTTACAGGATTAATCGAAGCTTTACTATATTGGTATAACCTGGTTATTAACTTCATGAAACAAATTGCATAGTGTTTCTAAATAAATGGTGTTGCTTAAGAATCTTCACACAATTTTTAAAATAGTCCATTTATGAAGAATTTGAAAAATCAAAATTCTACTTGTTCGATTATTATTGGATTATTACTCGATTGTACATTGACTATTCTATGTGTCAAGAAATATAATACTAATACCAAAGACAGCAATAAGATAAGATAATATAATGAATAATGACAATGATATGACGCACGCAATAAGATAATACAAGGAAGAAGACAATGAAATGTGTATCAACAATACATGCTAAAGAAATGATTTTTCCTCATTTCTGAGTTTCTGTAAATTGCATACTTTCGTACCAAAACCTCTAAGTCTTTTTTTTAATACCACGAATGTTCTGAACATTTCTAATGCACATTTTTTGTGCAAGTAATCGTAGCTTTCCGGATATCGTATTTGCATTCTTACTGATTATATGATGCTCGCACTTTCGAACTTTTAAATTATTTCGCGTTTTCTACCTATTGTCAGCGCAACAAGTTTCCACGGTGCTCATTACTATGTGTGAACGTGTATATTCTATGTATAATATACAATAATAATAACTCCATAGACAGTCAACAAAAAAGAAACATCAACTTATATAAACGAAACGATTACTGAAAATCATTCGATCTGAGCGTTTCCTCGCATCTTTAAGAAGATAATTCAGTGTTGTGTAATTTTTTTTCCAAGTAGTCCGCCTTGAATATTAAATAAAAATAGATCGTTCCACCAACATTGAACTAAGCTCTTATGTTTGCGAACAAACCTTATCATATATGAATTACAATTACAAATTTTGATTTTGAAGTTGTTTGTGTTTGTCAAACCTCGTTCGTACGTCAAAGATGAAAACTGCGTGAATATGGAGTTTAGAAACGACACCGTTTGCAAACGATATTATTTCGCAAATTATAGTTCGGTCGATTCATCGAATTACTACGTCCTCGAAGAGGTTGATTGTTGGCATGATACTGCGATGAACAGATATTAGTGGCTGCTTGGTAACCGGTAGCGTCGGTTCCCATCGTATGTGGAAGTTTGCAGTCTAGTAAAGACTATTTTTAACTTCCGTTGGTTATTTTTGCGTCTGTTTGGTCGCGTGTAAAAGGAAAATCAAACATTTGGGGAGGAACGTTCGTTTCAACGTTGTTCCGTTGCACAAGACTTGTTTGATTCTCGTTAGAGAAGAGCCGACGTCACCAAATAAAATGATCAATGCGTATCGACGCGAGGTGAGAATTAATTCACAGTCACAGAATCGAAAGAGAAGGAAGAGAATGGCGACGAAGACGGTAGATTCCAACTCTTTCCGTTCCCACAGAATTGCGTAATCTATACGTCGAACGAAAACAATATTTGCGAATAAAGCAGGAATAATTATATCACGGGCTCGTTTAAAGAGAAAGCGTCAGAGAGATTGCAACAAAACAGAATTTATCAATAAAAATATTTACCGAACAGATAGTTACGTATCAGTAATCTTTTCTTACACGGTTCTATTGAAGTTTACGGATGAAGTAACTTTTATCTTTTATCGTTCGTTTCGTAACGCCGCGAGCGACATTAACGCACGACACAATTGATGATGTCACGGTAAACAAGAACTTAAAATACTGGTAGGAAGAGGAAACGAGATTAGAATAAATGTTTAAAAGAGCCATTTGTACGCAATAAATGTCCGTCAATTTCGTTGAGTTATTTGAATCGGGAGATTGGACTCTTGGACGTCGAAAGGAGGAAAACCGTCTTGAAATAATATTTTAAGTAAATTTATTGTTAAACGTACGTTCGCGCATCGTAGATGTATTGTTCGAACCTTGAACGTTCTTGACCTTTGACTCGTTTCGCGTCGCTTTTTGCATACATTTGCACACACGACGATATGACGCGAGTTCCCGCGTGCACAGGTAGGCAGAAACGAGCGCGTGCGATCCTAATTTAGTCGCGAAACTCGGATCAAAGCCTACCTAAGAAGATTTCGGAGATGCGCAAAGGTGAAATTTCATGAAAGAGGAGGTACCGAACTTACGATAATAACTTTATCTTTTGGAACCAAATTTAATAATGGAACATCGAGGAAACTCGTACAATATCCTCTGAGAAATAGAGCCAGCGATAACAGAACTATTGAAAAATAATTTGAACAAAAGAATTTAACTCTGGATCGATCTTAATGCGACTCAAATTAAAAAAACAGAAATTGTTACTTTAGGTAATTAATTACGTGACTGTTAAGTTACGATAGTGTAAAATCTCTATCGATAAATATGGCGAACCGGGCAAAGGTTACGGATACGCATTTGCACTTGGAAATATGGAAATTCGAGAAGTATTAACCAATTTCAGATTCCTGAAAAGCTATCTACACGTTTCTTGTCAAACTTCTAAAACGTAAAATAAAAGTACAGTTTTCTTCTCGAAGACGTGCAGTGGAAACGATTGTTTCATGCGTGGAGATGTTAAGAAAATGTCAAGGTAAACTTCGTACCTTCAATTGACACGTTATTATTAATTTACGTCGATAGCCACTTTAAAAATTAGTTCATTATCTCATAATATAACACCCACGGTCATGCTAGATCATAGACACGCGATAAGGTGATCTCGATACGGATCTATACTCGGGCCAACGAGACTACAACTGTTTAAAGTGGCAGTAAACAGATACTTGGACGGTGTTGCGGTTACAGATTAGCGGGCGTCGTTCAGGGACGAATTCGAAGCAGATTTTTATCGGGGGCACTTCACCGTATCGCACTAAATTTTTTTTTATTTCAAATTCAATTTATTAATACTACATTTCTAATGATATTTTTATTCAATCTGTATTCGAAGGAGCGGAAGTACAGGAGTGGTAGAAATCGTTTAAACGACGGACCCTCGGTAAAAGACCGCCTCGAATTCGTCCCTGAACGGCATCCGCTGATCTCTAGCCGCAGTACCGTTCAAGTAGGCTATCTGTTTACAGCCACTTAAACAATTGCAACTCGTTTCGTTGGTCCGTGTCTAGTGCTGCCACGATTCATAATAAGC